CTACATGTGATCTCACAAGTTGTTTCCAAATGCTTCACAGCCAGGTGTTGGATAAAAATCACATAAAGGAGTGTGACTCCTGGCCAATACCAGAATTAAAAAGATATGTGAGTGCCAAAAAGTGAGACTCCTGATGAGCATTTGTATGAGAACCACAGGAACCCCCCCTTCCCCATGTGGAACACAATCATAAATTGTATGTCTCAACTCTGAGTAGAACACATGTGTAAGCACCATAAATAAAGAAATGTAAATCTCAGTGAGCACCAAAGCCAAATGTGTATGGACCATATCCTGATAGCTAAAACTTGTGAAAACATAGCTAAAAGCATGCAATAAATCTGGTCCCAGAAGTTCCTTTTAGGGGGTATGGTGCTGCCAGCAGGTCAACCTATATCTGCAGGGTGAGTGCATCAGCAGCCTGATGGTACCTTCAGGCTTCCTGATACCCCCAAATTGCCACTGTGCCTTTGGCCAGACCCTAACAACTTGGAACCAAGTTTACCAAGGAATTAAACGGCCAAAAGTTAGATATATGGGAGCCATGCCTACAAACCACCTCTGGCTAAGCTATATAAGCTCATTTACTGGCCTTATTTCAAAGACTGCTAAATAAAACTCAAAAGAGATCAAAAGCTGCAGTTCAGCTCAGACCCACGCATGGCTGAACAGACTGGGGTAAACTGGAGGGGGGTGGGTTGGTCTGGGGCCCACCCAAGCAGAACTCCAGCAGCCACTTGCTCCCATAATCCAAAATCGCCGCCATACCCCTGGCCTAACTCCATTGTCTCAAGACAGACCTCACCAAGATATAATCTGCTGAAAATGTTGGTATGCAGGTTTGTGACTGAAATCTCCAGGCTTTCTTGGGGTCGGGATGGGACACTGCTCCCTATCTCCCTGTACTTCTGGAACCCTTGGCAGTCACATCCACACTCCAAAGCTGCCACTCAATTGAAAAGCTTCTCCAGCCTTACCATCCCTATAAAAATACTGAATGCCCTGGACAAACACCGTGACCTCTTAGCACCTGTATTGCAAACCATAATGCACAAAAGGAAAAGAAGAGAGAGAGAGAGAGCAAGAAGGAAAGTGCCTCCCACAGAGGGAGTCTGGAGGTAGAGGTGGGGCCTTGAGGGATGGTGGCAGTGAGATGGAGGACATTGGTGGTGGGAAATGTTCACTGGTGGAGGATGGGTCCTGGCTCATTGTATGACTGAAACCCAATTATGAACAGCTTTGTATCTCATGGACATCCAATTTAAAAAACAATTTTAAAAAGTAATGTAAAGGAAAATTGTGGAGTTCATGCCCAATTCAATCAGCTTAATGAATGACTGAATAGCAGCACTCTTACATGGAAAAGAAAAAAGAAAGGTTCCTTTTAAAGTAGTATAGGTTCACAGCATAGGTCATTAGCAGATAATGGGCGTAGACTAAGGACAGGGCACGAAGGATAATTGCTAAGGAAGCAGTCAGTAAGGGTCTTCAGTCTTGCAAAAAAGGTAAGGTAAAGGCACTCCCGTTGTTCGTCTATTTGCTCGAGTGGGCCCAGTAACGTCTCCATTGGAGACTTTGTTGTTACTGTGTCTGGCATATCAAATACTCTCAGTAGCTTGCTAGGCTCTCTGAGAGGGGCGGAGGAATCGAACTCGGGTCGGCCATGTTGGCTGCGTGCAAGGCAAATGCCCTACCGTAAAACAGTGAGTGATCATTGTGCCCATTTGACAGGAGAAGGGATCAGGGATGAATAGACCAGGAGTTTTCTGAGGTTTTCTCTGAGTCAGCAACATTGATGTCACCAGGAGTTAGGTATCCGAATGTGGGGACCCGATGAAGTAGGTTTCACTAAGCTCACATTTTCAAGTTTAGAACCATAAGTCAAACAGAAAGAAGCTAGAGCATGAGAGAAAATAATCCTGTCTCCTACAAGGATCTTCTTGAATACCTTTCCCCTTTGGCAGGAACCACTTCCTGGGTGTGATCTATAGTTGGCCTGCAAGTTTAAAATGCTAATAAAAATTAAAAGAGTAATACAACTGCAGTTTCATGTACTGGGAACTTGGCAATTAATAGCATAGGGAGTACATTTAGCAGAATTAATCTTATTTACAACTGGAAATTCCCATTATAGATAAGGATCCCAAGATATAGTCGTGTGGAGCAAGGCCACATATGCAATAAATGGTGGTCCTTTAAGAATTTCTGGTTGGACAGTTTGACCACAGAACACTAGTCAAAATATCTGATTATTAAAACAGATATGTAAAATGAAGGAAGGAGGAAAGAACAGAAGGAGGGGGAAGGAAGGAATAATGGAAAGAAGAAAGGAAGAAGGGAGGAAAGGAAGGAAGGAAGGAAGGAAGGAAGGAAGGAAGGAAGGAAGGAAGGAAGGAGGGAGGGAGGGAGGGAGGGAGGGAGGGAGGGAGGGAGGGAGGGAAGGAGGGAAGGAAAGAAGAAAGGAAAGAAGGATGGGAAGAAAGGAGGGAGGGAGGGAGAGAAGGAGGGAGGGAGGGAGAGAAGGAGGGAGGGAGGGAGGAGGGAGGGAGGGAGAAGGGAGAGAGAGAAGGAGGGAGGGAGTAGCAACAGGTTCAGAAACAAAGAAGGGAGGAGGGAAGGAAGGAAAGAAGGAAGGAAGGAAGGAAGGAAGGAAGGAAGGAAGGAAGGAAGGAAGGAAGGAAGGAAGGAAGGAAGGTGAGAGTGAGAGGGAGGGAGAGAGAGAAGGAGAGAGGGAGGGAGGGAGTAACAATAGATTCAGAAACAAAGTTTGAGTGAAAACTCTTTCAAAGAGTGGTTATTTCCCTGGTGTGGCATTTTTCTAGCCATGCTTTTAAGTCAGCCCATCCACACATTTCAGTAAATTTCAGCTTGAGATCATTCTTTTTACCTAAGAATTTGGTCCCATAGGTAGTTTGTGATTTATTTTTTCATATTATTTTTTTGTCCATCTCTCTATGCTCATGTAGTCTTTGTGACTGAAATCTCAACTCATCCCAGTTGCTGAGGAATCTTTGACTTTATCATGACTAGAGAATATTATGGCAAAAACATGTCACTCTTTGGGGACCGTGTGCTCAGGGGCAGATGTGAAACTCCTCTCTGCTTCATTCACCTTGGCACGCCTCGTTCCCTGCCTCTGCTTTAATAGCATATTATTTTCCCCTCTTCAAGCAGCAAAGCCACAGGGACACTTAATCTCACATTCTCTGGAGGCCCTTTGGAGACTCAGAGCCTGATCACGGTAATCAAGAAGGGGTGGGCGTGATCAGGGACTAGGTCGGCTTCTTTGTCTGCCTCTCCACATTTAGACTTTTCATTTTCACATTCCTCCCCACAGTTTGTAATAAACGCAGGAACATAGCTCAAGGGCAGGTGCGGTTTAACTTCGACCGAGTTACAATAGAAGCTATTTGGAAAGTAAAACTTTGAAATGGCAGGTTAGCCTTGAAGAATATATTGAATTAGATATGGTGTGTGCCTTGATTCATGATCTCTGCATAATAGCATCACTTTGTATATTAACTGGGTGCTTTGTTAGACTAAAGAAATGGGCTGTTTAAAAAAATTACCTTCATGAAATCGATGTATGTTATGATGAAGAACCTGGGAAAAAGAGCCCCATGACCTGACTTCCTGAGCTAACTCTACTACTTCCTGAGGGACCTTGTTCTCTCTGAGGATAGAATTCCTCTCTGTAAAGTTGAGGTGTTAGCAAAACTTGTCTAATGGGACTATTCAATGAGATAAATGCTATCTTTTCGTAAATTTAATAAATGAGGACTTTTTATTTTGCTACCGCATCATTATTGTTTAAATCTTTGATTTCATCCTGATTTGATTCTTCCATTTGGGCTTTACTTCTGGAGTACTCTGTTAGCCAATTCTTATTTCTTGTCAATTACACAGTCACTTTGGTCAACTTTTAAAATGTTCAGTTGTTTCATAGCACTGGCTAAGTTCAACCAAGACTGATTCATTCAACCAAGACAGGATTCTTAAGAATGTCCCCTCAAATTCATATACACCACATATCTTACTTGTTTTGCAGCTTTCAGATATCTATTATCAGCATATTTCAGACGTTGTTGTTGAAGGTAAACATCATCTTCCTCAAGAATTGTTTATTACGAGCAGAGAGATGATGCCGTGTGCTGGGCACTTATCTTGCATGCAGCTGCCCTAGGTTCAATTCCCAGCATCTCTTAAAGTGCCCCAAGTCACACCAAAAGTAATTTCTGAACATAGAGCCAAGACTAACCCCCACGCTTCACCATATGTGGCCCCCACCAAAAAAAAGTATAGTTCACCAGGACTCAGTGTAGAGAAATTAAGCTTCACTGATAAAAGTTTTAAAATATATGAGGGTAAGGCCCTTTTCTTGCTTGTGACCAAACTTGGTTCTATCCCTTGCATCCTGAACACTGTCACATGTCACCCCTAAGCACAGAGCCAGAAATCACCCCTGAACTCTGCCAGGTGTGCCCTTCCTCTCTCTTCCATATGAGGGTATGTACCCTAGGGATAACTCAGTGGTGTAGTACATGTCTTGCAGGAATGAAAATGAGACTCTGAGTTGAATCTGTGGTAGAGCCTACATGCCAGAAGCAATCACACTGGCCCTGACACTTGTGACCCCTGACACCACAACAAACTGTATGATCTCCAGCACATCACATCCAAGTACATATTACCCGTGCAACTAAATGTATAAGGACTGCAGCCATAAGCATAAAAACACTATACCCAAGGCAAAAATAAATAAATAAATAAATAAATAAATAAATAAAAGACTTGGGTATAAGCAAAGTGTGCACCATGGTTTCAGTGTGTGAGCTGTGTGAGCACTGCAACTAAGTTTGACTTCCAATGAATACCACAATCAGTTGTGTGTAAATCTCAGTTACAGCAGCAGTGACACTGTCATCCAAAGGAAAGGAATGTGTCAAAACATGTGTGTATTTGTATACACTTTTTATATTTTCTTTCTTATCCCTTTTCAGCATGTTCATGTCCATGTTCTTCCCAGGAAGGCTGGTGACTTTCGCAGGAATGACAGCATTTATGATGAGGTATGTCTGCTCTCTCAGATATTATTGCTTGATTACAGGGACTGCTGGTATGATGAAAGCAACCTAAAGAACCAGGTATCCCCCTGGATGTGGTCTTAAGTGGGATTCCATCCAATTATGGCTTTGGAAGTGGTATTGGAGGCTAAGAACCAAAATGATCATCATGGGAATCCTACAAAAATCAATTATGATGGCATTGCTTTTCAAAAAGAACCTTGCAGAAACCAAATTTTGTTGTGATGTTTTGCTTGTCATTTAACAAGATACTAATTATTTCTAAAAGAATATGACACAGTGTCCATAGGATAAAATCTATAATGCCACCAATGAAAGCCACACAGACTACAGTTTAATAAAGAGTTCGAAAGAACAGCCTCTTAATACATTTTTGAACTCAGCTTGTTTAACATAATAGTTTTATTTAAAATTGAAAATCTAAAAGTAGATTAATTTGAAAGATGTTAATATAAACCATGTATCAAAAAATAGAGTAAGTGCTGAATGATTTAGTAGTTAACTGGTTTCTGGATATTTCCATTCAAATATATAACTATGAAACTACCACAACAATGAATAAGTAATAGCTAGAAAATTTGTTTCTAGTGTGTCTCCCATATGAAAAATTTAGGATATTTTCATAAAAAGAAACTTAGACTATAATGGATATATTGATATAATATGTGATCAGATCATTTCAGTTTAACTAGTTATACTACTCCTAAAAAGGCAAATGTAATTTCTATATGTAGGAACTTGCCAGATTCCAATGCTCTCTTGGATCCTTTGATAAGAAACGTCTTTGAAATTGTTTTTGGATGCAGTAAGAAAAGAAATGGTGATTGAATAGTTGTGTCTCCCATGATGTCAAATAGAACAGAAGGGATATTTAAACTATCTTTCATTCCTGTTATAACCCTTTGAAATTAATATTTTAAGTATGTACATATATAATTTAAATATATACACATATAATTATTATTTGTCATCTTCTACTAGGTAAATTCATAAGAATATCCCTAACTGATTCTTAGACATCAAAGAACCTATGTATTTTTCATCTTTATAGATGTTTTAAAGTAATTATATATAAAAATGAATACCAGATCTTGAAAATAACCATAAAGGTCACTGTCTGTCACTGTCCTCCCATTGTTCATCAATTTGCTTGAGCAGGCCCAGTAACGTCTCCATTGTGAGACTTGTTGTTACTGTGTTTGGCATATTGAATACATCACGGGTAGCTTGCCAGGCTTTGCCATGCAGGGCAGATACTCTCGGTAGATTGCCAGGCTCTCCGAGAGGGGCAGAGGAATCAAACCCGGCTCGCCTGGTCTGGCTGTGTGCAAGGCAAATGCCCTACCACTGTGCTACCACTCCATTAATAATATTAGTTTTTCTAGGATTTACTTGGTCCTTTTAGGTCACTGGTAATTATATCTTTGTAGCACACCTCACTATCTCATGTTCCATTTTCTAAGAGTATATATGTGTAAGAGAGAAGTGTTCTAAGTGCTGGTTAGTGAAACAATTTCTACAAATTTTGATACCCCGGTCTTTTCACAGGAAGTCTGATTCAGTAGATGTCAGAGATATAAAGAATCATTAATTGTATGAGCATAAAAGTCCCCCAAAGTTTCTGATGCATGGCTTAGGAGTTTGGGAATAGGCTTTCCCCCAAATTTAGATTTTTTCCATTGCTACAGCCTGTAGCAGTGCAATTTAAATTTATTTTCATTGAATATGGAATATGGTTTAATGTTGGTAAGGGTTTAGTTTGAGTTAGAAGAAAATCAGAATGGAGTAATTATTAAAAAGATTCATTTTTTAAATTTTTTATTAGTGAGACATATGAGGTACAGTTGTAGACTTACAAAAGATGCATTGTTAGCATAAAGTAAGGTTAACAAAATGATGCCAGGTACAGGCTATTTTAATTAATAAATTAGTGCATGATTTACCTACAATTGAATACTGCTGAAGTGGTATTTAATGTATTTGAAAAACTGATTTCATAGAGTGAATAGTCATCTTAAAGTCTTGTTTATAATCCAAATATGATTGTTACAGGGTTGCAGGGCTGCAGTATAAGCCAGTTCAAGATACATTATTCAGTGCTGAGGTTAAGGTGTCATCCCTTTTTCCCTTGCTTTCTTTCGTTGTGTGCATGCTTCCACAGATGAAGCAACACATGACCCAACCTCCCACTATTTGCAGGAACATATTAGTAGAAGTAATTATTCTGAGTTGTTTTTATCCATCAACTGGTAATTATTATGCAGTAAAAACACTGTCCCAGAAGATTGTGGTACAAGACAATTGAGTGAATCTGAAAATAGGAAGAATTTGTGCTGCCTCTAATTATTGATAGCAGAGAAATCACTAAATCTTGGTTTTATTTTTCTTATCAGTAAAATGATGATAATGCAAATAATTCAAAAGATTACTGTATGCAGCTTTATATACTATACACGAAGATACTTACTACAGACTTGGTGCAGCTTAACCATTTAATTATAGATCACTGTTTTTTGTTATTGCTCTTATAAACACTATTAGTTTTGTTTAGAAAAATTTAGCTTTGTTAGGTAAATGGAGAACCTGATTCAAAGCCAATTTTTGGATGGTCCCATTCACCGCTCATTCTAAGATTCCTATTTCAAGTTTCTCTATGTCTTTAGCCATTCCTGTTTAGATTTATTTTCCTATTTGTGTAAAAGTACTTCTTCAATTTGCGTATGTAATAAGGTACTGTCTAGAAAGTGATATGAAAAGCATGAAGCATTACATAGTCATTATTGGTACAAGACATAATGTACATTAGACTGTGTGATCTTAATCAAAAATGATGGAGTGATAAGAGACAGCATTCTTCATACTGATGTGAGCATTCATTCTAGATTTTGCATCTGTCACGGATGTACAGCAAACAGACATCCTTAGAGGGAAGGGTGCAGGGAAGAGGGACAGCAGGGGACTGAATTTGGTGAAATGTAATTGTATTCCTTCTGCTGCAGAAATAGAAAACGATGCCTTAAGAAGCCCTAGATTAGAAAATGACTAGGAATGTTGTGTTCTCCCAGGGCACTATTTTAAGAGGGATATTGACAAACTGGAGAAAGTTCACAAAGAGGTAATTGCAAAGTCAGAACTTAGAAACAGTGCTCAGGGGAGTAGTTGAAATTGGAGATGCTTTCTCTGGAAGAGAGAAGACGTAAAGAGGAAAGGTTATGGTAGGGCCACTGTTTCTAACCATATGAATGAGTGGCTGGTGAAAGGCAGTATTAAATATGTTCTGTGTGATTCCGGAGGACAAATCTAAGATTATTAGCATACACAAAGGCAATTATTAGCTTCACATAATAGCAGTTCAAATTGCTAGAAACTTTGGACACATAGGGTGTAAGGGTTTAGCTTTCCATCTGGTCCTATGGAAGAAGAATCGCTGCCCAAATTTCTTCATGAGAACTTCACATCTATTCTGTGGATCAACCACAGATTCTATTATTCCTCTCCTTACCAGCTTGGCCCATTTCATCATTACTTTCATTTTTAGATTATGCAAGTTCTTTAAGAAATTGCTTTCACTTATGTTAGTATTACATAATTTAGGTCACTGCCTAATCAGGTGTGCCCATTTTCTTTAGTTCGTTCAAATAAAATTCCCTAATTCAAATGATGGCTCTTTTCCTCCCTCAAAATTGAATGCAAACTCCATCCTTTCCTGGCCAGATGCAAACACCACCTTTCCTAGGTTAGGTTGCCCTTCTTTTATAGATCTCCATGTGTATCGTATTAATTTTTTTTCTCCCAAATGCTTTCTAGATCAGCACTTTAAATTTCTACAACTTTTTTTTTGTAAAAACTTCTTGGAACACAGTGGAACTTTCATTATCTTGAAAGCTTGATGAAGATTATTATAATGGCACAAATACTCTTGTGTGTAGCTAATATATAAAAGGAAATCAACCACTGTCTAATGCCATGTCATCATCTCATTAACTCAGTAAGACTTACCCTAGCTGTGTCCTAAACAATCAACATTCATAACTGTATTGGATAATTCATCACTTGTTTATGGGTGACATTGAATGGTTATAATCGTTCACTGTATATAAAACCCATTACTGACAAAGGTAGTGACTATTATTAAGGCAAATGGGAATAACTATCAGCAATTGGAAAAAATTCAACCATGAATTTCACAGACAGAGCAACTGTGGGTTCAAGCATATCATGGGAAACAATTGCTTGACTTAATACAATGCTTGAACAAAATCAATTTGCTAAAATGCAGGTCATTTGGCCCTGAAGGCTGGAGGAACTATTATATAGCTGATAATATTTATTGTTAAACTTGGATCTCTTTCACACACCATTTGACAAGGAGTTCAAAGTCATGGGTCCCTAGTTGACTCTTCAAAATGCAAAGAATATTGTAGCAAAAACAGTTAATTATTTTTCCTCTGAACTCAATTATTTCATCATACTGTGGGACGAATATTTGAGGATTGTAAATGAAAACTTAGTTATCACTTATTACTACTCCAATCAATGCAGTTCTTATTTTGTTTTTAATAAAAGAAAACTTTGGTAAATTATTTAAAATGAAAAATAGAAACTTGCTGTCTTATTAATAATAAAATAACCCTATGTGTCTTAATTAATCTGGGGAAAGTTTCAAGTTAAAGAAACTGCTTGTGATATAACAAATAATTAAAAGTATAGTAAAAGTGGTAATTTTATGATCTTTGACCTCAAATTTTCTGACTTCTCTTTTGTTAGCTCTTTTAATAAGATAAATGGGTATGGGACTCAAGACATAGTACAGTGGATAGGACGTCTGTCTTGCATGTGGTTGACCCAGGTTCAATCCCTGATATCCCATATGGTCTCAAGAACACCACCAGGAGTAATTCCTGAGTAGAGAGCCATGAGTAATCCCTAAGCATCACTGGGTGTGTTCAAAAAAACAATAAAAGTAAGTAAATAAGAAAACTGTT